GGGTATGGCTATGTGTGTGTGGGGGGTATAAGGTATGGTGTGGGGTGAGGGGGGAATAGGCAGGGTGTGGGAGTGTGAGGAAGGGTGGGGGGCTGTGGGGAACCCTTGCTTCTCTCATGCAGGACTCATGTGCAGTTCCTGGGACTCGTGTGCCACAAGGGGAAACCCCATGACATGGAGCTGGCTGCCCTCCCTGCTCTCTGCCACCACATGCAGCTCCTATGACTCTGTTGGGAAGCAGGGAGTGGGTCTCCCTGCCACTTCTGGCGGAGTCCCAGGAGCTGCACATGGCAGCAAGAAGCAGGGGCAGGCTGCTGGCTCCATTGCATGGGGCTTCCCTACAGAGGCGTGCAAGTCTCGGGAGCTGCATGTGAACACCATGTGATAGAGGTGGGCTGGCCTGGCTCCTCTCCTTTCTGCCACATGCAGTTCCTGGAACTGGCTGGAGCTGTGCACAGCTGGGCAACTGCACCAGTGTAGGCCATGAGCACCCCAAGGACTTGCTGCTGCTGGTGTTAGGAGCTACGCACCATGGAGGAGCTGTCTAGGGGGTTCCCTGCATCCCCACCCCCAACACCTCACACCTGCCTACACCCACACCCTGCCCACCTGAGCTCAGTGCTCCTGCTGCTCAGCTGGGTGAGAGCCCCAGGATCTGCGTTCCTATCCAGCTGCAGCTTCCCTATCTGCTGCCTGGAGTGAGTGCCGCAGCAGGGTCACGAGGAGGAGATGCTAGAGGCTGGGGGAAGCCGAGTAGGTCCCCTAGTGGCTGCAGCAGTGTCAGCAGCAGCCCCAACCGGAAGCTGTGCATGCTGGCTGGGGCCTTCCTGTGCATGAGCAGGGATCCTGGTTTTCTCCGATTTAAAAAAAATCCGCAATTTAAAAAAAATTCCCAATCTATACATATAGTGCGGTTTCATTTTAATCATGGAAAAATGTGGGTTTGGGTTCATTTTTTTACACTGAAAACTGGAGATTTTTTTAAATCTGAGAAAACCAGGATCCCTGTGCATGAGGTTAGGAGCAAAGTGAGTAGGCTGTATGGGGTACACTTAATTGGTGGGTGCCTGCAGCCTGGATGAAAAAACACACCTGGTGGGCCAGATCTGGCCCAAGGGACATATTTTGCCCACCCCTGTTCTAGAGGCATGAGTGGTTCCCAGGGGGCATGGGCAGCCTGCTGAAAAACCTGGTTAAAGGTATTTTTCTTTCTTACCCTTTGTGCTGGAAGGATTTTGAGGATGAAGGGTTTAGAGTTTTATATTTATTTTCTTCCTTAATAAAAATAGATATTGCATGGAGGTCCCAATGAAGGGCAATGACACGACCTAGTCATGTAGTAAACTGGTCTGAAGCACTGTTGTAGATTACTGCAGCAAAGTATTTTTATTATTAACCCATGACTTCTGGGCCATAGTAATAAAGAAACAAAGATGCGTATGAAACAAGCAATGTAGGAAGGCCTTACCCATAGAATATTCTCCAACAAGGTAATCTTTCACTTCTGACTTGCTACTACTATGCACTGTTTCCAGGGCACTGAACAAGGGCCTCCATCCTGACTGGATCTGAGTGGAACACATCTCCACCAATTCCCCTATAGATGTGATCACCTGTTGCAGACAAAGCAGGGAGAACTTTAAATAAAAAACAAATATAGGTTACAACATATGGAAAGACTGAGGAATGGAATGAAAAGCCCCCATAGAATGTATTAGAACACTCTCAGAATTTCTACAGGATTTATCTCCAACTCCAGACAAGTTAGTGACAAATAACATTTTTTTCCAATAAGTTCTATAGGATCTGACTGCATTGTCCATGGAACAACTGCTTTCCTGCCAAACCATGAGGCACAGATGCTTCTCAGCTGCAAATGTACTAACCCCCTCTGAAGTCATTTAAATGCAAAGTATACTTTAGACCAAATCCCTTACTTAATAATAAAAAAGTAATCTGCTGTATAACCATATGCCCATGTACTGAGGCAAGTCCTGAAAAACAATGAAAACACTCAACAATACACTCAACTTCAGTATACTTCACAAGGATGTCAATGGTGCAGATTATTTTTAAGGTGAGAGCGTATTTCATATGTAACTCCACTGAACTACAGTTTGTGTTGGTGGTTTAGGTTGATAGAAAGAATCTTTCTGAATCCCAGTAAGAGAAAAGTAGGCAGACATATTGGTTTCCTTTCTGACCCTGGGTCCATTGCTGACAACATAACGCACCACTCTTGGGCTCTCCTCAGACAGAAAACCTGAGTGCAGCCCTGGAGGGTGCAATTGCAGCTGCTCCAAGCTGTCTGTGCTTCCTAACTGCTATTCTTTGGTGGGAGTCTGTCAATGCTGGAACCAGGAATGAAAGGGAAGACCAACTGACCTGCTATAAGTGTACTTCTGAGCCCTATCCCTCCTTGTTTTACGGAAGGCAGGGCATAGACAGGATAGACTTACCTGGTCCTGGACATCCTCATCACACAGCTCCAGCTGCATGATGTGCTCAAAGGGCCGGAACAGTGCTTCATTAAAGTGAAAATGAGGGGGCTCATTCCAGTCCGTCAGCACCTCGGTGAGGATGTCATGGATAAAGGACACAGCCTTCCGAGAAACATGTCTCTCCTTATGGCAGGCAGCCTGCACGGAGAAACAGAATACAAAGCACTCTGGGTAAGCAAAAATTTACTTTTCAAGTAGACAATTTTGGAAGAAGTGGAAGCAGCAATTTGATGGTCCCTAGAGACAGACCAAAATATCTGGCTTGAATGAAACTGTGTCACTATACAGTCAGCTGACTTCCACTGCCTTTGAGATGCTCAATATGCCACAGTTTAATGATAAAAGTTGAAGAAAAGCAAAAAAGAGTCTATAATGTTCTATAGTCTTTTCTTGAATTTGGATAGGCAGCATGCTAAATACTCAATTTCTCTTCAACCTCATTATAGAAACAATGTTTTACTTTCTAGTACTCAGGCATTCAAAAGACTAAAGTATGAAAGCCTCCTGGGTAAGGGTAGCTAGCTCCTTACAGCAGTACAAAACTGACTATGGGCAGAGTAAACCAAAAACTGAAGGAGACTGCTGTTCATTTTGCAATACCTCTTCCAAAATCAGGGCACAAATGAATCTGGATAGAAAACTACTCCATACTAGGGCCAGATCTTACTCCTGTTTAGGTAGCTAAGTGGACTTAGGAAACTTTCCATCCTGTTTGAGAATCTAAAAACTTAGTTCCTAAAGGTGGGTGGATCCTCTTCCTCCTCGCTATTCTTTTTATAACTTGATTTTAAGACCAAGACAGTAGCATTGTAAAAAAATAGATACCTTAATGGATTTTCAAGTGCTTACAGGGAGGAACAGGATTACACTTACCCACCTAATTACTGGCACAGGATCTGACCATGGGTGACTATCCAGGCATCTCTAAATTCAGATAATTCCCCTGAGGCTTGTACCTAGGCTGAAGCTCACCAAAGGAAACAGTGACTGACCTACTATGAAAGGAAAATCTGATTTGGAGAGCTCTGAATTGAGATTTCTTAAAGAAGCCAAAAATTCAGAAAATTGGTGGGGCACAGAAAAACAGATCACACTGAAGTCTCAAGCTGGACATCTTTAAAACACTAATCATTTTCAAAATGTAGGCAATTTTACATATCATTATCCTGCAACATTTTGACTGTACTTAAGGTAGTCCATTAAAACTCCTCAGTAAGTGAACTCAAGTCAATAGAGTACCTACAATACAGACGGTTCAGTTTAGGTAATAAGACCAGTTATTATCACACTCTTGAGAAACTGTGTGTGACAACACCTGCCTTATTCATGGAAGGGTCAAAACTCAAGAGCATGGGCTTCCTCA